TCTTCCAAACTCGAGAAATACAGGAACTGGCATGATATTTCCCAATCCTTGGGATCGTAGTCCGGGGCATCGCGATTCTTGAAATACGTTTATATATATATATATATATTAAAAAATTATACATAAACACAATAATAAAAAAAATAAGCAACAAATAAAGTTTGAGGTAAAAGTATACTTGTACATGTGGGGTGTACCCTAGTGCGTACTTGCAATAGTCTCTCCACTCTTGGGGAGTCCGGTGTATGGTGCATCCTCAGCACGCATCTCCGTCAACGGGGAGGCCAAACAGTATCTGAACATCCTCGAGAGTGATCATGGCCTCTCCGAAGTCGAAGAAGAATATGCTCGTCTCTGGACGCCACCTCTCCAACAGGCATGTAAGGAGGGCATTGTTTGACTGGATCCGGCCCATCCAAAACAAAGGCCCGAAGCCGGCCTTGTCGATCGCCTCCCAGGTCCGGGCATGCTGGTTGTCCAAGGTAAGCCAGAACTGGGTGTCCGCACGACGTGGCTTAACCACGCCGTGGCGAAACCCCTGTTCGTCCTGATATACCGCCTTGGACCGGTGGTCGTTCTGAAGATATAGTAGTGAAGGGTCAATCGAGCGGAGGTGTGGGGTGTAGGTTCTACTGTTTGAGGATGACGATGCCATTTTCTGCAAACATTCATCACAAATTCTCAAAATTTACCCAACTACAAGTACTACTTCAAACAATTCATTAAAAATTCACAAACCATCACAAATTCACATAAAAATTCATTAATGCTAAGAATATCACCACTTAAGCTCAAATACTAATTTACCTCATTCCAATCATCACTCTCTTCCCCATAGAAAACAATTAAAATGATAAATCTCACGAAAAATAAAGCAATTTAAACAAAAGAGAACCGCAGTCCAAATAATCGCTTTGAAGAAATATTTCGAATTCAACGTCTATTTCCAACATAATTTCGAATTCAAAGTCCTAATCAATTGTATGTAAGATTATGGAGAAGGATTCAAGCCATTATACCTAAAAAAATGTACATCAATCCCTTTGAGGCATTTTATCGAACACCTACAAATCATAGTTTTCTAAACAAACTACAAAACCCTAATCAATCTCCAAATAACCCATCAATGTATCACACAAACATATCAAACAACCATCAACATATCTCAGTCATTAGAAATTCACAAATTAAATACCAAAACAAATGAAAAAATGGAAAAATTTGTTAACCCTAACATCATGTTTTTGCTACAAAACACACCATATATCCTCAACTCATCCCTAAAATCGAGAAATAGAAGAAAACTGAAGAGAACTGATACCTTGATTGATGAATTTGGTGATGAAATGCTCGGTTCTTTTCTCGCTCTCGCTCTCTCTTTCTCGCTCTCGCTCTCTGCTCCTCCCTCTTTCTGCCTGTCTGCGTCTCGCAATCCTTTTTTTTACATATTTAACGAAACACGGATTCTCAGAATCCGTCTTTAGCTGAATTATTTAAAACACGAATTCTGAGAAACCGTGTTTAGCTTAATTTATATTATATACTATATATTATATTAGTCTACTTAATTTATATTATATAGTCTACTTAATTTATATAATATACTATATATTATATTAGTCTACTTAATTTAGATTTATATAGTCTACTTAATTTATATTATATACTATATATTATATTATCTACTATATGTTATATCATATTATGTATATAACATATTATATTATGTAGTATATAACATATATTATATGTTATAATGTAAATCTTTTCCTTGAGAGTGAGACTGTGAGGAGAGTGTGGGAGCACTATGCCAGATATACTCATATACCCCTACCCACTACAGACAGTTTTTTTGAGCTTCTGAGTTTTTTCTCACTCCGCACACACAGTAGACACGTGGGCTTTCGTATTCCTTCTCTGATCCTTTGGGCCACCTGGACAGAAAGGAATAATGCGAAGCATAGGGATATTACATTTTCTTGTGCTCACAATATTTTGCAGGTTGATAGACATCTCTCTCTCTCTGCACCGCCCTGGGTAGACTCACGACGAGAGAATGGACAGGGTGTACACCGCCCTTTCGTTTGAGGCCACCACCTCCTTTACCTGTCCAGCATCCACGACCCAGGGTCGTTGTTTGGCTGAAACCCAAGGCCCCTTGGGTTAAGCTAAACACTGATGGCGCCTTCGACAGACATACTGGAGTTGCTGGAGGAGGGGGCCTGATTAGGAATCATGGTGGGGCACTCATCTCTGCCTTCCATGAGCCACTTCGGGCCTCCTCGAGTTATGATGCAGAGATTCAGGCGCTCTAGTTTGGTCTTGAGACTGCCGCCTCGATCTCCTCACATGT